CCCCCCCCCCCCCCCCCCCCCCCCCACCCCCCCCCCCCCCCCCCCCCTTTTCTCTCTCTCCGTCCCCTTCCTCTTGGCAGCTGCTGCAGTGGTCGGAGCAGCAGTACCGTATCAACGTTGGGCGACGGAACGCTGCGGTTGGCAAGGTGCGTCCACGTGGCACAGAATGAATGAGCCAGAGGATTGGCTCATGCTAACCAGAGGTAATTCAGGTTAACAGGAAACCAGTTAGCTCACCAAATACCCACTTCATCAAGTGAGCAAGTAAACTAGTGAATCAGGTTACCAATTAACCCAAGTAACCCCATTTATTCAAATGGCTAGGTAAGCAGTAATGTGTTGGCCAGGAAATCAGTTAATCAGGTAACAGGCAAGGAACGACAAGAACAGCAGTACCGCACGAATCTGAGGCTCTGGATGGGTGGGTGGGCGGATTGGTCAACGACTATGGGCCACTGAGTTAGCAGGTTAGAGGAGACAAGCCGGGCTGTGGTTCAGCAGGCCAGCAGGTAAGCAGAGTAGAATGTGTGGAATATGTTACCAGCAGCAGGTACGCGGGTGGGTGACTGGCTGCGGGTACCCTCACACGTATGTGGTGCTGTTGGTGAGTGTAGCAGTAAATGCGAGCGGAGAGGGTTGGGGAGGGAGAGGTGGGTAGGGAGGTTAGGGTTGAGTGTTTATGGGCGGGCGTGGGGCAGGGTGCATGGGTGGTTGCACGGGAGAGTTGAGTGCATGAGTGGTTGCACGGGAGAGTTGAGTGCATGGGCGGGTGTGTGTGTGAGCTCAGTGCTTTTTTCCGTTGAACCATATTCTTAACACGCATCAACTTTATCTTTTACACTCAACATCATCCATTACACTCAACCTTTTTCTTATATCGCAACCTGATCCTTCACATTCAACCCCATCTTTTACACACATCATTCCAATCCTTGAACCACCCCATCCCTCCGCTGTTGCCCCCATGGTAGGATCCGGTAAAGTTCGTTATGGACTGGTTCAAGATGACTGAAGGACGGCCCTACAAAGCCCGAGCCGCATTCATGTTCGAGGTACAGTGCGGTGCAGTGCAGTGCATGCAGCAGTGACTTAAAAAAAATCCTTAAAAACTGATTCAAGATTCAGCAGCGTGTTATTACAGGAGGCAGTTTCAAGGGATCCGATGCTTTCTTTGCCCAGGTTCTGTGCAAGCTCTGTATCGGATCTCTTGAACTGTCTGTGACTTGTAACCTGTACCTGAGAGTGCCTCTCAGGTGCTCTGATGATCTGATCTGCCTTGCTTGCTGTAACTAATCACTCTTGTTACCACCTTTTGTACCCGTAAGCCAGCTCTTAGCTCAGTTTCTACTTCATGTGCTGCCAATCCAAGCCAACTGTGCGTTTTTCTCCTTGTTGACATCTTTCTCTAGTCGACGCTTTTGCCGAAACCTGCCCCAGGTGCATTCCTTGTTTGCTCTTAGGCGGAAACCTTCTATGACTTCCTTTACGACCCAACCCCTTCCCACGCCGCACCCCCTTCCCGCACCGCACCCCAATCCCTTCCCACGCCCCCTCCCCACGCCACACTCCAATCGCACAAGAAGGTGGTTTGCCGCGGCGTACCCCTGTCTCATGGAGGAGCGCCTTGGCACGTGGCTGGATGGTGGCAAGTGGGTGTACTGCCTTTTGAGTCGACTAAAAAACCCACCCCCACCCCCACCCCCACCCCCACCCCCACCCCACCCCACCAACAGGTATTTGCCCCGGCGTACCCCTGTCTCATGGAGGAGCGCCTTGGCACGTGGCTGGACGGTGGCAAGTGGGTGTGCCGCCCCTCTCTCCTCAACGCCTCCTCGGTTGTCTACAGGTGACTGTTATGCGCGTGCTGGATTGTTTTTCTTTTTAATATAATTATTATGAAACAGACACTCTTTATCCATTTTAATTTACCGGCTTCTCAGTGAACCCTTCTGGTTGTTGCGTTCTCGTAACCTTTCTCTTTGGATTTTGAGGGTAACCCTTTCCCCTCTCCCCTGTCGTTCAAGGAGGAACTTTTCAGCCGCTTCAAGGCACTCTTTCGACACGCCTCAGAGTCTCTGTCTCGCACTCTTTCGTGTCTCGCACTCTTTCGTGTCTCGCACTCTTTCATGCCTCGCGCTCTTTCGTGCCTCGCGCTCTTTCGTGCCTCGCGCTCTTTCGTGCCTCGCGCTCTTTCGTGCCTCGCGCTCTTTCGTGCCTGCCCTGCCCCCTCTCCTCCCCCCACCATCGTCTCCCCACGGCAGCATAGGGTCAGACGGTAAGGACTCATTTGAGGGGAAGAGTTTCAGCCGCTTCCAGTCACGCACGTCTCAGAATTCCCCGTCTTCTTCTCTCCCTCCCACTGTTTTGTGCCTGCCCTCTCTCCTCCCTCCCTCTCTCCTCCCTCCCTCTCTCCCTCCCCCCTCTCTCGTCCCAACATTGTCTGCCAACGTCAGCATAGGGTCAGACGGCAAGGACTCATTCGAGGAGGAGATTTTCAGCCGCTTCAAGTCACAAATCCATGTCTTTGACCACACGCTCACGCCGCGCAAAAAGGTGATGCTCGTTGTCTAAACCCCTCCCTCCCCTGAGTTCGCCCCGAATCAACACCTTTCACCTCCTCGCTGCCCGCTTCAGCCACTTCAAGTCACCGATCCATGTCCTTGACCTTACCTGGATCTGGTTTTGTGAGCCGGCGTGAGCACGGACCACACGCTCACGCCGCGCAAAAAAGGTTCCGTGCTTTCACTTACCTTCCTTCCCCCTGAACCGCCCTGATTCGGCCTGAACCCCCCCGAACCGCTCCAAGTCACGCATCCATGTGTTTGACCACTCCCTCCCGCCACGCAAGAATGCACCATCCCTGACCCGCTGTGATCAGCCCTTCAACCGCTCTGAACCGCAGCACACTGCACTGAACGGCCCTCCAACCGCCCTGTACCCACACGGTCGCACCTCCCTCCCATCTTCCAGCTCCATCCTCCCACCCGTGAAGCCTCTTCAAGTCACGCACGCGGCACGCATGTGCTTGCCCACACCCTCACACCACACCACACCACACCACACCACACCACACCACACCACTCCACACCACTCCACACCACACCACACCACACCACACCACACCACCACACTTGACACCACCAACACAAAGTGGCCTTTAGTTACCTCCTTACACCACTTAGTGGCATCAGCCTTGCCCTGAACTGCCACATAAGTACATGCTGTTCAACACACACAAACATGCCTGCACTCATACACACTCTCATGCATGCACACACACACACACCTGCCATCCACACGTATGCATGCCCTCACGCACATGTGCATACCTACACACGCACCAACATGCGCTTTCGCGCTTTCACATCCCCACGTGCGTGCATACACACTCACACGCATATTTGATGCACACATGCGCGTGTAGACACACACACACACGCACACACACACACACGCACGCACACACACACACACACACACACACACACACACACACACACACACACACACACACACGTGCGCTCACAGGCCCACATGCACGCACCCGCACCCTGTATCGCCGGGCCAAGTTGGAGCGTACGAAGGCGTACAAATTACACGCTCGTGCAGCGCAGACACCCTTTATTATTGCCAGGGCATGGTGGAGCATAGGAAGGAGTACAAATTCCACCCCATCGCTTTGGATGAATTTCTTTTCTTCTGATATTTTTCGTTGCTTTTGAGAGTTTTAAAAAGGGGGGGGGGGGCGAGAGTCTTACATAGAGAGGGAAAGAACATCTACTCACCTGCTCGCACCCTGTATTGCCAGGCCAAGGTGGAGCGTAAGAAGGCATACATGTTCCACCGTTTGGTCGCCTTACGCGTCCCCTCCCTCCCCCCACATGCCCCATACCATACCGCCAGGCCAAGGTGGAGCGCAAAAAGGCATACAAGTTCCACCCCGTCGGCCTCGCTGTCTCATCCAACGAGTCTGCTTCTCTCAGCAGCTTCAAGGTGTGCCTCGCTGCAAGGTGACTCGTTACAAGGCGAATTGTGACAAGGTAATTCGTTGCAAGGGGACTCGACGCAAGGTGACTTGTTACGAGGTGATTCCTTACAAGGTGATTCGTTGCAAGGTGACTCGTTGCCTCGTTACAAGGTGACTTGTTGCCTCGTTACGAGGTGACTTGTTGCAAGATGACAAGTTGCAAGGAGACTCGTTGCAAGGTGACTCGTTGCAAGGTGACTCGTTGGGTGGTACTGGTGATAGGATCAATAGCAATATGTTTTCTTACAATGGAACTTGCTTCAGAATCAATAGCAGGGAGCATGTCTTCATACTCAGCATGCCCGATCCTGACTCACTATGCCCGATTCTTGCTCACCATGCCTGATTTTCCCTCACCATGCCTTAGTTTACTCACCATTCCATTGTTTTGCACACCGTGACTTCCAATTCTCAACCTTGCTGCTTCCATGTGCCATAAGTCAAGGCCCTTGTTCTTCTCAGCCTGCTATTCTCGTTGTTGCAAGAGCTCGCAAATACAACACCATCCCGTCGATCGTTTTGAAGCTGCGCCTCAGAAACAGCGGCTTCCCTTTGCCCCTCTGTGCGTCTTCAGGACCTCACAACGATGCTAGGCAATTCCTTTGTGGACATATCCATGGCAGACTGCGCGTGGTGCAAATACAACTCCATCCCCCCGTTCCTTTTGAGGCTGCGCCTCAAAATCAGCCTGTGGTTGCCTCACTTTTCCTCCCAGTGCCCCCCTGTGCGTCTTCAGGATTTGAAACGATGCTAGGTCACTCTTTCGTGGACATATTCAAGGTGGATTGCGTGAGCTGTGAATACGTTATAAATCCAATCCATCCATCCTTTTTTAGGCGCCTCTAAAACAACCTTCGTTCTCTCCCCTGTGCTTCTTCAGGACCTTACAACGATGCTAGGTCACTCTTTCGTGGACATATTCAAGGTGGATTGCGAGAGCTGTGAATACGACGTCATTCCGTCCATCCTTGATGGTTACACCACGCCACCCTTTGGACAGGTGCTGCACTGCTGCTTAGAGAGTAATGGGAAATGGCATTCATAGGCATGCATGTATGCACACACACACCCTGCTCACTCATTCACTAACACACGCACGCATGTAAGGCGCACGTGCTGCGCGTGCGAGCACGCGCGCGCACACACACACACATGTACCTTATGCGTCTCGTATGTCTCAGGCGACCCTGGTCAGAGTCTCAGCTACTCAATTCAGGGTTATTGCCTGCCACCACCCCACAGCCCCTCCAGTACCCTCCTCTTAACCCCTGAGCTTCTTTCTTTCCCCCATATAGATGTGCTTTTTCTGAACTGACAGGATCACACACCTTTTGTTTGCCCCTTGTGCTCTTTCTGTTCTCCAGCTGCTGATTGAGATTCATGATTTAGACCGATCAAATGCCGATCGTCTAACGAGATTTCTTCACAAGATCGAATTGCACGGTTACCGCATGTTCCACATTGAACTAAATTGGAGGCAGCTCATGTCCCTGGAAGCTGCATATATCCATGAGAGCTTGTGTTAGTGTTATGTTGAAGGACCGTATACTGTATTCCATGCTTCTTGTATTTTTATTGTTATGATGTAAGATGCGACCATGTGCACTTCTCAGTTCAAGTTTAGTATGCCTCCATGCAATTCCACCCTCAACTCTTCAGTCATGGGCTCAGTTTGAGTAAAAACTACTTGGTGGTCCAATTCTTAGAGCTATTGTATGAACTACACTGTTATGCAATACCTGTGGGAACAGGCCGTTAGCGTGGTGTAGAAAGCACCAGTGTTGAGGCAAATGTGGACATCCTAGCTGCAAAGCACAATCTTTTGAGTGGCTGAGAGAAAACCGGAAGCTACGTACAAGCATTACTGCTTTGCATAAATTGCTGATGCAGCGTCGGCGGGTATTGGTTCCTCAAGGGTGACTCTGACAGCATGCCCTTGACTGGCCACGTGTCTTTCTGTCGCGAGTAAGGACACGTCTAGTTGACTAGGAATTGGCGGGAAATCTTTGTGATGCCACAAGTGACCTCATGATGGTGGTCGTGGCTCGGTTCGTTGACACCTATTGCCATGGGTCGTTCCGAGGATGTGTTGTGTAGTGTAGGTGACAGCCGCATCTTGCGGACAGATCCTGGGAGGATATAACGTGTGAAACAAGAGTGGACACACCACGGCAACGGCGCGCTTACTCCCATGGATGTGCACTTTGCCAATTTACGTGGAGGCCATCACATTTGCCTGGACAGCACAGCAGAAGGCAGTGCGAGCAGTGGTTCCCCTTGATTGCGGCGAATATGACGCGACAGCCACGGCGTCGCAACAGTTTCATCGCCTGCCATTTTGTAACCAGTCGCTTCCACTTTGGGGCGTTGATCCCGCAATCTTGGTGCGACAAAGTATGCGCGTGCCACCCTCCCTGCATCTGTGAAAGTGAGATCGAGTCGCTGAATACAGAAAACATAATTTCCTTTTAGCTGCCCATGTAGCCACCGCGACCCCCTTTACCCAAACCCAGCACAGAAGGTTCACTTTCATGCTGCCCGTTGAACTCGCAGCTGCCGTCACTCAGCCCCCGATCTCGCGAATCCCATGCTCGCTGGATTCGAAGTTCTGGTTCTGATTGGCGATGCGCGTTTCAAGGCGAATCGCTTGCATCCTCCCGCCTGGTCGCAACGTTTCGCCGACAACATTCGTCCATTTCTCGTCTATCATCATTTGCAAGCTTTTATGCAACGCCATTGGCCTATTCTCAGCACATTTGAGCTTCGGCAGCACTCTGACTTGTAATCCCGCAATTTCGACCTGGAAGTCCGTGCCAATTCCGTCGCTCGAAACGTCGTGCGATTCGAGCTTCCGCCGCAGGGAGTCCCTGTCCAGTCGCCGCTCCTTCACGCCGTCGCATGCGACTACTTTGCGACGACCTTCCTCTCTCTTTCTCAATTGTGTGACTCGCACTAACTCGCTCCGCCCCCTCTTTTTCCTCCATACTCGGCCCTTTTCGCTTACTTCATCTTCATTTCTCTACGCCGTTCCTGAGAGGACCTAAGCTGGAATTTCGCCGTTGCTAGCGCCGCAGCACACCAACCAACCACCATCGGCGTCAAGCTGTGCTTGGATTAGAAAGCGTCATCTCTCATATTGACGTTTATTCCGCGAGTTGCTGCATCTGACTGCAATCCTTCCTCAGCTATCTCAGCTGAACCCTCACCGACAAGCACGTCGCGTCTAGTGGCCTCTCTCAGCCAGAGGACTCATCGTGCCTTTCGTGGTGTACGCGTTTATCGTCGGGGCCTTTAAAGGCGGGGTGCAACTTCTTAGGAACAGTAGCAGGACAAACATGGAGTGTGCGTAACGAGACCCTTATTGGATGAAAAAAATGGAATCTCGGAAAAGACAAACTTCTCGCCACAGAACTGCCTGGGACAACCAAGTTCCAAGCTATAATACTTCGAAGTTGAAGCTGATAGTTGGGCCACGGCTTTAAGTTCCTCGCTTGAGCTCTCGTCCACCCCAGAAAATCTCTGTCATTCGCAGCTTGGATCTTATCCTTTCATTCCTTCGCTTTCATCCAACCCGTTCCGAATCGGCCAATCATTCTAGTCTCATAGAGCCACCTCTCTCCGTGACTCTCTCTCACTCGTCTCCAGCCATGGCGCTCTCGCACTCAAGTATACTCAACCTCTTCCCCGCTACTAAATCATCCGACTCCGTCACTGGTGGTACATCATCAGCGGGATCCATACCATCCGGCCGACTACTACCTTCGTCCACCATCTCCTCTAGTCTTCGTCACGTGCTAACTCCCTCCCAATCCTTATCCTCTGCTTCGCACAATGCCGCCTCCTCGCTCTTCCCCTCGCCTCTGCACTCGTTTCACCACGTGTCGCTTCCGCGCACCACCACGCCGGGGCTGCGCCGGCTGCGCTTTCCGCGCACCCGCGTGCCATGCTCCCACAAACCTCCCCGTTTCCTCAAGCCTCACGGGCGGCCTCCGCGTCGCCTGATCAAGTCGCACTCGCAGCGTCCGCGGCGCCGACAATCATTTTGCGTTCCGATAAAGACGCGCAGTCGTTTTCCAACGCACCGCAGCTTAAAGAGCGCAGCGCGCAGGTTCTTTCGGAGCTAAGGAAAGCATCCGCCGCTGTTGCGGTGTCCACCGCGTTTGCGCTTTCCGCGGGTTGCTGCGCGCCAGGCGCGGCGCTTGCGCTGGACCAACTCCCCCCTCCCGTTCCGCCTTCAGAGTATCACGTCGCCATTTCGACGACAGACAGCGCCGTAAAATCCGGTCTACTTGCTGACGAGTTTATCTCGCAACTAGAGTCTATACCTTCCGCTCCCGCACTTGCCACGTCAGCATCCCCAACCCCGGCGTCATTAACGCGCCAGGTTTCACTGACATCCGCGGGATCCTCGGGCAGAGTGGTCTCGCCCGAGGCGCAGGAGGAGGCGAAGGCAATGCTAGTGCGACAGCTGGAGGAGCAGGATAGGCTGAGAAACGCTGAAGAGCGGATGTGCGACGCGGTTCTGTCGCCCGTGAAGCAGGGCATCGCAGGTCCCGACTCCTCCTCGCCGGGTCGCTCGCGCTCCGTCACCTGGGCCGACTGCGCCGCGGACTTCCCGGCTGACGTCATGGTTCCGCTAACGCTCTCACCCGGCGGGAGCTTCAGCGGTGCAAGCGGAGACGGCGGAAGCGGGAGCGGAATGCGCGCAGCAGCAACGGGTCGATCGTGGCGGAGCCCGCAGTGTACATGGGACCGGTTGTGGGGGGCGCGGCGGCGGCTTCCGCCGCCATGGGCGGAGTTGCGACGGGCGGCCCGATCGCCGCAACTGAGGTGTCGTTCGCGGGAGCGGCGGCGGCGAGCCTGACCTTGGAAAGCGCCGCTGCTGCTGCCATCGCCAGCTCGTCTGGAGGTAAGCATCTCCTGTAATATGCGTAACATGTGATGTAACCCGCGTTTCGCAACTTCCGAACTCCCCCCCCCTCTATTCGGCCCCCGTCCCCCCTTTTCGAGCCACTCGCCCGCTTCTTTCTGGGCCGTTGCCGCCTTTCCCCACTCACTCATTCCCCTTTTTACGCGCTGCTTTCCCCGCGCTTTCTCTCCCCGCAGGTCTTTCCGCGAAGCTCGCGGCGATCATGGGCCAATCGCTGCAGCATTTCGGCGTCGGCGGAGTGGCGGGCGCAGTGGGCGCAGCGGCGGTGTACCCCTTAGACACCATCAAGACGCGCATGCAGGCGCAGCGCAAGATCAAAGAGTCAGATTCGGATTCAGGCGACTCGGGGCGAGACGGCGCGATCGGCGCGAACGGCGCCCAATTCCACTCCGCGGCGGATCGTCAACGTCAACGTTAGCGTCTGCGTCACCGTCACTGTCTCCGACGCAGACGCACGTGCAGTACCGCGACGAGTGGGACTGCTTCCTCCGCATGGTCCGCGAGGAGGGCCCCGCGGCTCTTTACAGCGGGCTCGGCGCGCAACTAGTCGGAATCGCGCCGGAAAAGGCGATCAAACTGACCGTTAACGAGGTCCTGTTGGCCATGCTCGAGTCGACTATCCCCGGAGCGCGTCTGTGGGTCCTCGAGATCATCGCGGGCGGCGGCGGCGGGTTCTGCCAAGTGGTGTTCACGAATCCCGTGGAAATCGTCAAAGTTCGCATGCAGGCGCGAAAAAAGCTCGCGACAGGGTCGTCCGCGTCGTCGAGTGATTCGGAAGCGGAGGTCGCGGTAACTTCCGCCTCCGCCGCCGCCGCCGGCGCGAGCGGAGCGGTAGTAGCGGAGCCGCAGCAGCAAAAAGGGAAGACGTCGTGGCAGGTGGTGCAGGAGCTGGGTATTCGCGGGTTGTACAGCGGCTCGAGCGTGACTCTAGCGCGCGACGTGCCGTCGACCGCGCTCTTCTTCGCGTGCTACGCGGCGCTGAAGCAGGTGATGCCCGATCAGACGTTCATCGACGGGTGCCTCGCCGCGGTCCCCGCCGCCTACCTCGTGACGCCTATGGACGTAGTTAAAACGCGCATGCAAATGGAGCCCGAGGAGGGGAAGGAGGCGTACCCGAACGCGTGGGTGTGCGTTAAGGAGATTGTCGAGGAGGAAGGGCTCGGCGCGCTGTTCAAGGGTGGCATTGCGCGCGTGCTGCGCATGAGCCCGCAGTTCGGAATCACGCTCATGCTGTACGACATGCTGTCGCAGTAACGCGGACGGGGTGTACTACTGTAGTCGTCATGCTCCTGCTCCTCGCCAACTGACTCTCCCCGATACAGTCCCATCCGATTAACGCCTCGCCTCTCCGAGTGTCCTCTTCACGCCAAACCATGAACCCGCCGTTCCGCCATCGCCACCACCCCCGCCACCATTCCGCCATCTTGACATTCCGTTACCGCCTCCACTTCGCCACCCCCGTAAACCCGCCACCCCCCCCATCTCCGCCACCGCACCCAATCCCCCGTTACCCACGCCACCTCCGCCACGCCACCATCTCCGCCACCCCCGCCACCCCAGCCTTCGTTGCCACCTATGCCATGCCCGCAGTCTCTCAAGTCCGCCCATCCGCAAACCTTCCAACCCATCCGTCACCGTCACCCACCCAACCATCTCCACCGAACCATCTCTCCACCCACCATCCCGCTATGAAGGGCTTTCTCCAGATGGTATGTACACAAACGGATCGCAGGACCTTGCCTCAAGCATCCCCCTGTGCAGTCTAGGTTCCATGCAAGTGCATACAGTCTCTCATACACACCCGCACCGGTATTATTCCTACCTTAGAGCTTTCAGCTTCTCATTTACAGCTGATTTGGCTCGCAAGGGTACCGGTGACTAAACAGCAGCAACCCAAGTGGCGGTGGTGGTGGTGGTGGTGTGGGCTGGGTGCAGCAGCAGCTGGTGCTGTTATCGGTCCAGTTTCTGCTTCTGGTTATATGCACCTGGAGCAACAAAATTCTTGTACACTACTCCGCCAGCATTCATTGGTTGTGATTGTATGGAGGGGTAGTTCTCGCTTAGGATGATTCGTTTTCCTTGTGTGATAGTAGGGCATGTGTTTCTGTCTCAACCTGTGATGTGCAGGTCTGATTAGGCCCATTTTACTTCTCCTGACACCTAGACATTTGTGTGATTCTTGCTTGATATGGGTATGTTTTTAACCAAGAAGATTCGGACCGGACTGTGATGGGCAGAGTAGCTCAATGCCGTACTCATTGCCAAGATGCATCCGCCACCATCAGGATCAGAATTGTACATGTATGTTTGGAGTTGTTATGCTAGTGAAAAAGGAACATAGCAGGTATGCATCCTTTCCCTAGCATTTCCTTGTCAATATTCTTATTTATCTCAACAAAGCTGCATAATTCCACGTTCGGACACCCGAAACACCCAGTATGTCTCTTCTTCCGCGCGCGTCTACCGATGCAACATCACCCCAAGAAGATACCGTATGACCATGACCAGAATCCATGCCCAGAAGAGATAGCTGCGCCCTGTACGGTTTGAAAAAGCAAGTATCCCGTCAACTTAAGAAATCTGCCTGGCACATCAGGACTCCCTCCCTACCCTGGTAGCGTACTTGTGCGTGAGATCCAAGATCAGGAACTCGGGGCCAGCTGGAGGAGTGAGCCTTGTTTAGCTCATACCGATAAGTACCATACCGGTATTGTATGTCGATGCCCTATCAGATTCAAACAAGCAATTAAACAATGGGCACTACATCTCCCTTACAAGCAATATAAATACAGGCGTGTATTGTCTGTTTGTATCCCCATCCATGCCCCATGCTGCTGGTGCCACTGGGCTAAGTCTGCTGCAAGCAACAACTCCCAGAAAAGCCGGGGGCAGAGCTGGGAGAGCAATGCAGAGAGCACTACCGGTATGACAGTTGAGAGAGTGTGGTACTCCCTGTTCTCATCACAACGCCCTGTACTGCTCATGCCACTGGGCAAAGTCAGCTGCAATGCCTCCCAGAAAGGCTAGGCAGAGCTGGGATAGCAAAGCCAAGAGCACTATGACAAGTCGGGAATAAAGTGCATTCCCGATCTCATCACTACGAGCACTGTTCTCATCTAACCACAGCGCCCGCTGCGGCTGGCGCCATTGGGCAAGGTCAGCTGCAACGTCTCCCAGACAGGGGCAGAGCAGGGATAGCAAAGCCAAGAGCACTATGACAAGTCAAGATAAAGCGCATTTTCTGTTCTCATCTCATCACAGCTCTTGATGCTGCTGGCGCCACTGGGCAAGGTCAGCTGCAACGTCGTTCAGGAAGGCTGGGCAGAGCTGGGAGAGCAGAGCCGAGAGCATTCTGATAGACGAGAACAGGGATTTGGGTTGAGGGATGAAGGGAAGGAGAAGGAGGTTTAGGGGTGCACAATTTTTTGGATGGATAGGACAGGAGGAGCAGGCTGACAGAAAACAGATAGAAGAGTTGGAGAAAAGTCAAGCCCTGAGGCAATAAGAGAACTAAGGAAAGGAAGGAGTGCTGGGTAATCTCGGCGTTCGACTCACGAGGGTGGTGACACGGAGAAAGGAAGAGAGCTCCGTGGCAAGACGAAGGGGCAAATGGTGCATGAAGAGCATGCTAACACAGCGAAGAGTGAGCATAAATAGTATGTTAACACAGCAAAGAGTATGCATGAAAAAGGAGTCAGCAAGATACGAGAGAGAATGAGGGCATACGAGGGTGTTGGGTTGCCTGTTTAAAAAAGAAGACATGACAGTGGGCGAAAGGGAGTGGAGCTGTAAAGAGATAGCTTCTGCTGGGAGGTCAGGAAGATAGCAGGTCCAAGGGATGTTGAGGATAAACTGAAAGGAGAGGCTTACTTGTTCCCTGGTTTCTCAACAGCAGAAAGCGGGAGGAGAGTGAAGGGTAGAGTGTAGACCTGCAGAGCAGAAAGAGATTTGGTCAGGGACGAGCAGAGAGGAGAGAGGAGAGAGGAGAGAGGAGAGAGGAGAGAGGAGAGAGGAGGAAAGGAGAGGAAAGGAGAGGACGGGAGTTTATACAGGTGCCTTTATTGTCGCTCACATGTCCCCTCTTCCCCCCTCTCCCCTCTTCCCCTCCCCTCTCCCTTCTCCTCCTCCCTCTCCCCTCTCCCTTCTCCTCTCTCTACATCATCCCTCTCCACAGCCTGCCCCCCTGCTTCCCACACTTTCCCCAATGTAACTTCCCCACTTTACCCAATGTAACTTCCCCACTTTACCCAATGTAACTTCCCCACTTTACCCAATGTAACTTCCCCACTTTACCCAATGTAACTTCCCCACTTTACCCAATGTAACTTCCCCACTTTACCCAATGTAACTTCCCCACTTTACCCAATGTAACTTCCCCACTTTACCCAATGTAACTTCCCCACTTTACCCAATGTAACTTCCCCACTTTACCCAATGTAACTTCCCCACTTTACCCAATGTAACTTCCCCACTTTACCCAACCCTGTGCACCGTCCCTCCACGCACTCCCCCCTCCGATTTCCTTCCCCCCCGGCCCCCATCCCTCCCCAAACCCTCCAACGACACTTGGATCTCAGAGCTCATAGAGAGCACCACGTGGGCCCCACTCCACCCCACCCCACCCCACCCCACCCCACCCGACCCATCCCCACCCCACCCTTACCACCCCCCCAACACACCTCCAATGACACTCGGATCTCTGAGCTCATAGAGAGAACCACGTGGCCCTCCTCTTGCTGACATGGCTGCCACGTCATCACGTTCTTGAGGTAACCTGTAGCAGAGGCGAGGAGAAGGAGACTGTTAAGAAAGAGCTGTGGCAGTAGCAGCAGCAGCAGCAGCAGTAGCAGACCAGCAGCAGCAGACCAGCAGCAGCAGACCAGCAGCAGCAGACCAGCAGCAGCAGACCAGCAGCAGCAGACCAGCAGCAGCAGACCAGCAGCAGCAGACCAGCAGCAGCAGACCAGCAGCGGCAGACCAGCAGCAGCAGCCGCAATGAATATATAAACTCAGAAGCACACATACACAGACAAATATATATGCAGAAAATAAAGATGATGTATATAGAACAAGAGATGCGTTTTCTAAGGTATTTATGGGAGAGGGAATATGATGAGGAAACTGCGAAAGCAGGGTTAGATTGAAGGAGCATGATCGACAACTGGCCAACAGAATCAACAACTGTCCAAACGTCAGCAACACTAATTCCCCTACCACCCCCCTGCAATCTCTTCTCAACATCCATGCCCCCCTCTCTACTCCCCCACCCCCCCCCTCTCTTCCACTCCAACATCTCACGCTCTCTCACACTTGCGACTAAGAAGCACACCACCTTCAAACACTCGGTTCTGGTTGCCCTGGCTAGATGTCCCCAGCTGTGAATTCCAAGGCGCAGAGGCCGGGAGAAGCGAGGTGGGAGGGGTGTGAGATGGAATGAGGGGAAAAAGAACAGGAAGGATAGAGGGAAGGAGGAAGAGCACAGGGACAGAGGGAGGTGACGGCATCACGAGCTACTGCTTATGGCTTCTACTGTCACTAGAGGGAAACATATGTTTCATATGTTACAAATGTTTCATATGTTTCATATGTTTTATATGTTTCAAATGACTAGAAGGTATGGCTCAACTCAGTACTCACTTGACACTGAGAGCATTTCCACAGTACACGTGTCATGAGAGGATGACACGTGGAGGTCCATGATTGGCTGCACGGAGATGCTGAAGAGCTCTAGTGGATGCAGGTAACACTGGTACGGGGATGGTGGAGCATGGTAGGATAGCCATGGTAAGACAGGCTTGGCATGGTAGGACAGACATGGAAGGACAGGCATGGAAGGATAGGCATGGAAGGATAGGCATGGAAGGATAGGCATGGAAGAATAGGCATGGTAAGAGCTGGAAAGTTTTCACGAAGTGAGTAAGTGTATTTTTCAAAGAAAAACTGGTCATGAAACGAAATTGCACAGAGTGCCGAAGGTGAATGGATGTAGGTGAATGTACCTGAACAGATTCGCTGACACAGGCTCCAACTGCCACATGATGGGTCGATGGGTATGGGCACAGGGATGGAAGTGAGATGAGTCGAGTTTTGAGTCGACTCATCACATGGGGCGATGGTTATGGGCTCAGGGATGGAAGTGAGATGGGGATGTATGCGTACGAATGTGCATGCGCAGGAGCCGAGCACACAGGCAGACCGGCAGGCAGGCCTATGTAAACAGGCAGGGTGGTAATCAGGCCAGGGTGGTAAACAGGCAGGGTGGTAAACAGGCAGGGTGGCACGGCCATGCGCGCATGGATATATATCACACAAGGAAGGCCATGCCACCGACAAACAAAAGACCCCAGAGTGATGTTTTCAAGTCAGGTGAATGGGTGAACCACATAGCAAAGAGCTTAGACAAACCCGGATGAAACCAGAAAGGGACCTTCTGAACGGGGGCAAGCAACAGGAGCAGAGGATTGCCTGTGAAAGGATGCGAGAAGCAGAACCGCAGGATGACAAGGAGAGCAGGAGGAAGGAAGTGAAGGGAGGTAGGAGACCAGTCACCTGCTGCAGGGCAGCCTCGTTAAGTAGCTTGCGTTGGCCCTGGGGCGACTGCACGGTACGAGCCAGCAGCTCCACTGCTTCGGCAGAGGTTCGGTACTCAGCGAATCGGTTCTCAGATGACTGAGTTGAAGAACTGTGCCAGCGAGGAGTCGAATCTCAGGACCTCTCGCGTTCCCCCACGGCGTGAATGCGGATGCTGGAACATGTGGAACTGCTCTCCAGCGCGCCACTCGCGGCCCCTCCTCTGTGTCCTCCGACCCCGAGTCGAAATACGAATCCGTGTCTGACGCTGACGCTGACGTGACGTTGACGTTGACGTTGATGCCAATGGTGAGCTTCCACCTTGCTGCTGCTGTTGCTGCCTGCTGAAGCTGTTGTTCTTGTTGTCGTTTAAAGCCCCCACGCAGCCCAAGACAGCCCACACGCTGTCTCCTCGCAAGCTGCGCCCTCTCCCCCTGCCACACCTGTCTCCTTCCCTCCCCGGAAAACTCTCACTCCCCTCCCTCCTTGCAAACCCCATCCGCCGTCCCCTACTCTCCAAAGACCCCCGACGGGTCCGCTTGCCAAGCCGCTGCATGCAGCTGGTTCAAACGCAGAAGCGAACCTATTGAGTAGCTTCCGTCTGGATTGTCCTTCGTCCAGGAATCCCTAAAACACCTGAAATTCCTCTGCTGTAGCCCTAAGAGTCTCACATACTTTCCTCCGCTGCTGGCTATCCTTTCTAAGTCGCGAACACGGTTCTTGCCATCTCTGCTGACCTGTGCAGTTTGCGGGGTGGCTGGTGTAAAGGAGAGGTGATGATGCCGATGTAGCTTGGATTTCTCTTCTGCCTGCACTGTGTCTGCTTTAAACGAGGGACACAGGGCGGAGGATGGGGGAAGAGGAATGCGGAGAGGAAGGAGGGGTAAGTGGGGTGGGGGGAAGAAAGGAACAGGGAAAACGGGAATTGCAGAAATCTGGGTGAGGAGCCCCTTGCCATTTCTGGAGTCATGAAATTTCTCGAGCCCATGGCATTTTTGAAACGGATATACATGAAACACACGGTAGAAAACCGCTGTCAATTAAGGCAGAATCTACCCAGCATTACGATTGGGTTGCTTGCATGTGTCACCGCGAGCGACATGGTCCCTCTCCTTTACTCCAGCCTGAACCTGGAATAGGACTGGGAGTGTTGTATTTTTTTTCGCAACCAGTATATGCCACCTGGTTCCAGGCTGGAATAAGCAGGTCGGTTGTTGCGTGGCTCTTGATTCGTGGCTCTATAGACGCAAACGTAGCAATAGCGAGCTAACTGTTGAGAGACTAGCCAGACGTAATTATGCTGAAACGACTAAGGATAAGTCACGGGAGTAACATCCCTGGGTTTGAATCCCTAGGGAGGGTTCCTCAACCTCGAAACGAAACAGTTTTGGCAGGCCTCAGTGTCAACCCTTCCAAAGCTTATACACCTCTTCTCCGGTAATTTCATCTAGGGGACATATCCGAGTCGCGTTAACGTTTGCCCGAGAGGGTGTGAAATTTGATACACCTGGGCTCCGATAATTTCAGAGACGGGGCACCGGGTCGCACCTCTGTCGTTTAGCCCAGCGGTTGAAATTATGGGGAACAAAAAAGTTCCCCCTAATTTCAACCCCCCCAAGCGCAGATATTTTGGCGCTGAGTCAGTCCCCGCTGGAACATGCCAGCGAGGACCCATGTTAAACAGTCTGAGGTGGTCCGTTCATTTAGAAGCCCGACTTCCTCTCGAGCCACAAAAACATACATTACGAAAAGTGTCAAACAGTGGGCGAGTAAGTAAACTGTCTTCTGCCCAAGGCCAAACACAAAATCATCAAATACTGAATTGTTTATACGACTACTTATTATTACCCAAAACCCCATTATCAGGACCTAACCGTCTCTAAATTCTAAGCAGTTCTAAATGACGAGTGGGTTTGGAAGTTGTAAGGAAAAATCCTTTTCCTTACTTCGCATCCCTGCTCAACGCGTACATCACTGTAGCACCACAGTCAGCACCGTTACCACTCGCAACCCTCGCATCGACAATCTGCCCGCCACCTTCGCACATCGCACCCCGACCTCACGGCCTCGGCGGGTAACCCGCGCTCCGGGCCTCCGCTTCGACACTTTTTCCCCAACCTCAGTCCCAGGCCCGTCGCGCGACAACCACAGTCCATTACCGTTACCACTGTAGTTTCGCTATATATTCTTCGCTCATGCCTTCGCTCATTATACTCTTGCTTCGATAGTGCAATTCTCGTTCGTTCACTCAAATGCACTCATAACACTTGGTATCAGAGCCTACGACCTCTTCTCGGACCGCACCCACACCTTCGCTTCCCCACTATCTCAAATTTTGGGAAGGGTAGACGTCCCTCAGCGACACAGCACCGCCGCTCGTAGTGCTCTCTCGTAAGCACGCACGGCCACGACTGAGGCTCTCGCTGAGCTCGCCCTGACACCCCCGCCATGGCCGAATTCACGCTCGCACATTGACGAAGGAGCAGCTCGACCGTCTGGTGCGCCAACTCGAAGATTCGGCGCTCGAAATTGCGACGCTCACGGCGGAACGTGACTCCGCGCGTCAGCAATCAACGATGAACACTCCAGCGCCACCACACGCACCGACAAATGCATCTGCACAATCAGACGAGCCGATCGTCATCTCGTCCGGCACACCAACACAAACCAACAGCGTGGGACAGCGCTCAGGCGCAGACAGCGATGGCGCCGCCCAGCCGATGCCTGGCATGGGAGGAAACAGGGTCGCACCAAGCCCGCGGGAGCCTCGCGAAGCCTGTCGGCACCGTGGAGTTCGCGTCGACAAGTGGCGAACATGCCATCATGGCACCAATGCCACTCAAGCCGCAACGCCCGCCCTGTTTCGACCCTGAGCCAGCGTGGAGTGTCCGACGGTTCAATCGATGGGTCTTCACGATGAACGTCTTCTTCGACGCGAATTACGTCGAGTCGGACGCAGCGAAGATCCGGTATGCAGTTTCGCTGCTAAGGGGCCCCGCCATGGACTGGTGGCGAGCCATCGTGACGTCGCCACGCGCCTACGAGCCACCGTCGCAAGAGGAAGGGCCCACGGGTTCCAGCTGTCACATGGAGTTCATTCTGCGAGACCGCCCAATACAGCACGTGGGATGCGTGGTGCGCAGGGCTTCGGGCGCCCCGCTTCGAGCCGATCGCGGCTTCTATTTCGGCGCGTCAGAGATTGCG